TGTATCGATTTTGATGAAGGGTTTCAAAATGAGTCTTGTGTTGGAAATGGACAAAATCATACACAGTCAAAGATACAAATAATAAAATATAAAAAGTTCTCTCATTTTAAACAGTAATGAAATATAAAAAAAAGAAAAGAAAAATGCACATCTAGGTACATAAATAATATTGCTTACAATTTGATGTTTTGTAATTAATTAGAAAAAGATATTTTAATTACGGGTATGTTTTTATTTATTTATTTTAGTTAAGATTTATATTAACTTTAGTTTACAACATGTTTCATATCGTAAACTATAAAATCAAATTTTATTAAAAAACAAAAATTAAATATTTACAATTAACTTAGTTAATAAATCAAGTTACAAGAACTGAACATATAAACATCTGTATAATATACATATAATTATATGTATTTAGTTTTTATGAATTGATTTATTAACAAAATTAATTATGAAGAAAATTGTTTACTTTAAGATGAATGGATTCTTAATTATTTATTTATGTGAGTAATAAATTACTAAAACAATAATGAAACTTCATTCAGGATCCTCCTGATCATCGCTGCTGCTCCTTAGAATGTTGCTGTTATCTTCTTTTCTAAGTTCTCTCAGATATTTATTAAAAAGGTCCTGAAGGTTGAATTTATTTCGAACATATTCATAGAAATTAATTAATTTTTGTTTCAGTTACTTTTTGTTTAAAACTTCAACTTATTTTGGTCACATGTTATCTAATCAAAAGGAAAATATTATGTAATTGATTTCTATAGAGTATCATGGAATTGAGATAGGTACATATGTAATTTTCATTAATGTCAGAACCTTGACGTATTTGTATTTTGATGTTTCCAGAGGTTTCGATTAAGTTTTTTTTGCATACTTGATTTTCATTTCAAACTTCTACGCAATTGTAAAATTATTACTTATTAAACCGAAACCTCGTATAAATATATTTTTAACATTTGAAGAAGGTTTATTTATATGTATTACACCCATTTTTTTAAAATAATCTTGTTTGAAGGTGTAAAATTTATTTATTGTTCACCCCGACAAATAAACCAGTATTATTAAAACTGCCTCTCACGTTCTAATTATAACGATGTATAAACACACGTTTAATACCATTCTCCACAAAAAAATTACACTGTTGAAAATCTTCGTTCTGCTACGATGAAATCAATATAAACTGCAATAGACCACAGTGGGTTAATATGAAAGAAATCACACATTATCATTATTCCTATAAAAATAAGATATTTATTTACTTTGTTGACTCCTTTGTTTACCTGTAAATAAAAGGGAAAAGTTGTCATCTACCGTCTGTAGTACCGGTACATTATAAAAATATTTTCCTGCAACATAGGCCTATTGATCCTTTTTGCAAACATCAGACTGCTACCTAGAGGTTGGCGGCGCCATCAACAGATTGAGTTGTCAAGATTCATTTCTCAGGACTGCCGAAAAAAGAATATTAACCAATCAAGGTGAGAATCGAACACAAGATGCTCAGAACCGGGCTCTCTAAGACCCGTGCCCCAATATACTCGTTCTCCACCCTCTTTGGTATGTTTAAATAATGTAATATATTTCCCAAAAAAATGTGATTAGGTAGTTGAGCTATTTCTCTAAAAATTGTCATGCATATAAGATCACATATATGTAAGTCTGGGGCACGGATCATAAAATTTCCTAGAGGTCTGCATCTTATCGTAACCTACATTTTATCTACCAAAAATCTTAGAAATGGGGCGTTTCATCATTAAATTAATTTATTCAATAATATATTTTTATTGAAAACTCACTAATACAATTTGCTTTCCACTTGAATCATAAGATAATTTCATCAGAAAATCTAAAAAATAAGGTGACCTGCAAAAATATTGATCCATTTGGCCTATATAACCTCTTTATATTGACATGTTAGTGATGAAAGTCAAGCCAAACGACCCACAATTTTTGTTGACCATCTTTTTTCTCGATTTTGTGATAAAACTATTTTAACATTCAAGTGGAAAGCAAATGGTTGTTCATGATTTTTTAGCACCTCCTATACAGTTTACCGATCTTAAAATCAAAAACCCTCGGTTTCTGGGAATTTCGGGAAATAAGAATGTAATAGGTAACGATAAGATGAAATCATTAAAAAATAGAGAGATATCAACAATTTGATAAATAGAGGTCTTTGCTGTGGACTCTATATTCTTATTTATTTTATTATTTAATTAATTTAGTTTATTTAGATTTACTAAATGTATTTTTTTAATACAGCTGTAAATATCATTAAGGAAATAAAAAAAGTTAATTTAGTTACGTTTTGTATAATTTGTGAATTCTTGATAAGACATAAATTTTTGTTTTTAAGTATTTATGATCTTTTTTTTTAAATGGACGAGATCCTCAATAAATGGCCAACGGTCAGAAATAGACCTAGTTATCAGAAGCGCATAAGGTACTTTCTCTCTTCTAAAAGTACCGAAATCTTTCAACTTTTCTAGCAATCCCAAAAGGTATGAGCCTGCTCTGATATTCGGCTAAGAGTTCATTAACCAGTGTCCTAGAAAGAATAACTGGGGAAATCCTCCGAATGAAAATCAAAACCACCCACAATCAATATCAATTCATCCTCAACCACTTAAAATATTTACTTTTTACTTACCACACCCGGACTCGAGCCTGGGATCTTTAGCATCGGAAGTGAATGATTTACCCACTGAGCTAACCCACTCCCAAAAGTAAGATTCAATTAAATGAAAATCTCCCAAATTAATTCAATGAAATATATTATTTTATCTTTCCACTGACAATCAGATTGAAATTTATTAAGGAATAGTTGAACGTTATTCTGCCGAAAAATATTATATACTCCACCAGTTTCTCAAATATAAAATTTTCTGCCAAATTATCGGTTCATCATCGTTTTTAGCATGATTAATCCTTTTTTGTGCTTGATCAGCAGCTGAAGAATCTGTATCGTCAGTTTAATACAAAAAGTCACTAGGTTCATATTGATATAGCATAACTTTCAGATGTATTTTGTGAGTTTCGGTCTCATTATCTATTCAAAAACACTGTAAGTTTATGCAAATAATATGTACTGTTATAATTTTCACATATACACTGACAGGCAAAAAATTCCACCCACTTAATTTTTTCATGTTTTCATCTAAAAATATTTCTGCTTTGGATTGGTCTATTGTTTTTAATGAATAAATAGGTAATCTTTTTGTTTTTTTTCAATTAGGAATGTTAATATAGAGGACAATAACCCTTAATTCTCAATTAAATGAAATGATTCTAGATTCCAATGTTTACTTTCTATGGAATCAAAATGTTTATTCAGTATCATTTATGGGATAACCTCTGAAGACGAATAAGAGCGCGTTCAACACTTCCTGATACACCGCAGGACCTTGAAAGGGCTCTTCGGGAGGGATGGGCTATCCTCCAGCAAAGGGACATTTCCTGACTGGAGGAAAGTATGCCGAGGCGTCTTTAAGAAGTAGTGAAGGCAAGAGGAGGAAACACGTGCTACTAAACGATGATGTAATTAATTTCTTTTAGGAAAAATAATGGTTCGTTTTTCAATTTTTTTTCTCTAATCTTTCTTACCCAATTACATTTTGATTATTAAATGTAAAAAAGATTATAAAATTCCATAAATACTAAGTATTATCTACAAAGACAATGTATTATATACAAATACAACTTTTTTTACAAGTGGGTGAAATATTTTTAGATGAAAACATGAAAAAATCATGTGGGTAGAATTTTTTGTCTGTCAGTATATATGCAAAATTATCTGATTTCAAAATGAAAATATTCATCAAATTTCTTAATTTGTTAAGCTGATTAAATCACACTATGACATAGCCTTTTTGCTATATACCGACAATTTTTATAATATTATCTATATATATATATATATATATATATATATATATATATAAAACCTTTAATTTTAAACATTAATAATAATAAGGTATTACTTATAAGTACTTTTCAGCACTATGATTTTTAAGAGCACTTCATGAACATATATTTTGTGTCTTCGAGGATTAAATTGCGCATTAGATTATAGTTTTATTCATTTATGAGCCAATTGGCTCATTTTCAAGCTTTCAAAAATCTGTGAAATTTCTAACACACTTCCATATTATATTAGTGTTTATACTGCCATACTAATATTACTTTCTGTTCACTATTAATTTTTACCCAATGGTAAATTTTAAACAATAAAAGGAGGAGTGACTACTGCGTATCGGGTTGTTTGAATTGACACGATTGAGTTTGATTAAATACGAATAAAATTCCAGAAACATAGTTGTTTCTATGTTATTGGACTAAAACTAATCATTAATAGAATTATATAATATGCAAATATATCTCTAACATATTTCCGTATTATATAATTCATCTATTTTAGTAGCTTGAAAATAAGCGAATCGCCTCAAAATTTGTTACGATCTAAACAAATTGAAATAAAATAAAATATTTAAAATAAAAACCTTATATAAGATGAATAGTAATAATTAATTAATTAATTAATTAATGCTATTTGGGCGCTGATAGTAAATTAATTATCTGAGTAAGGAATGCGACAGAAACAATTCAAAAGAATGATATGTGGATTTTTTCCGAAACAATTCAACATAAACCAATAATAAGAATGTGAAAGGTGGGGGAAAAATATGCTGCCCTGGATTAATTAGTGAAAAAAAATGATCATTTCACTAAAATAAAAATATTGCAAGTAGGATAAAATAATATTTCTGAGATAAAATATTTTTAAAAGCAGAAATATAATTTTAACTAGGCAATATTATATTAAATTGGGAAGAGGTGTAAAGCATAGATTACGTAAAGGGTGCCTTGCGGCTGGCAGTTTTTAAGAGAGGTTAATAGGAGCGGAGGGGAGGGGGCGGGGCGCAGGCCCAGAGCGGCAGTGCGCCCGCCGGTAGGGCTCAGTAGAGGGGCTGCTCTGGCTCTGGAATGACCGAGTGATGTGGCAGCTCTGGATCGTAGTCGCGGTGTTCGCCGCAGCCCGCGCCGACAACACCACCCTTCGCTACGAGGCACCCGAGGACTGCAACTGGTGGCTCAGGGACCCGGAGGAGGTTGCTCTCTCCTGTTCTCTTCGCACTATCAACTCCGAATACGACACTACCAACTTCACCGTTATCCCACCCGAGCACACTACCGCTTTGAGGATACGATGTGACCATAATATCATGTCCCGTAGTACATTAGACCAAAGGAGTTTTGCTCATCTAGCCAAACTCAGAGAACTGGATTTGGAATATTGCAAACTGACGAAACTTGTCAATGGAGTGTTCGACGGCCTAGAAGACCTCAGAAGTCTCTCCATCCGGACTCACAACACCGATTATCCAGCATTTAGCCTAGAATTGTCGCCTGACACCTTCGCATCAGTGAAGCAATTAGAAAAGCTAGACCTAGGACTGAACAATATTTGGTCTTTCCCGGAAAACATATTTTGTCCCATGACCCAGTTAGTAAGCCTTAACGTGAGTGGTAATCGACTACAAGACATCAGCGACCTGGGTTTCAGAGAGAAGACGCCACCTCCACAACCTCTGATCAGCGGTCCGGAAGCGGGCGCTAGTGAAGATAAGACCATCCAGACACCTTGTACTATGGATATTCAAGTCCTAGATAGCTCAGGTAATCATTTTGTATTAATGCCTATGAACGGTTTTAGCGCCCTTCGAAGACTTAAAGAGTTATACATTCACGACAATGAAATTTCCATGGTAACGGACAGGGCGCTCGCCGGACTTCGACACCTGACTCATTTCGATCTGTCCAACAATAAAGTTGTAGCTCTCCCACCCGAATTGTTTAGGGAATGTGCCGATTCGATAAAAGAAATATATCTACGGAACAATTCCATAAGTGTCCTTTCTCCGGGCCTATTTGCCAATCTCAATCAGCTGATAGCGTTAGATCTGTCAAGGAATCAACTCACAAGTGCTTGGATAAATAGTGGAACATTTTCCGGTCTTATTCGCCTCGTTTTGTTGAATTTATCCTATAACAAAATATCGAAACTAGATCCTTCATTTTTTCATGATCTGTATACCCTTCAGATTTTAAATTTAGAACACAACTCAATTGAAGCCATATTACCGGACACATTTACGCCAATGAATAATTTACACACATTGGTTTTATCTCATAACAAAATCAGTTATCTCGATGCCTATGCTTTAAACGGCCTATACGTATTGAGCCTTTTATCAATGGACAGTAATCAGTTAGAAAATATTCACGCCGAAGCCTTCAAAAACTGTACTAGCCTCCAAGACCTCAATTTGAACGGTAATAAATTGGCACAGGTGCCACTGGCACTCCGTGACATGAGGTTATTAAGAACAGTCGACCTCGGGGAGAACTACATCTCGAACGTTGATGTGCCGGGCTTTGTCGGCATGACCAACCTGTACGGCCTCCGCTTAATAGGAAATTATGTGACCAACATTAGCCAAACAACCTTCGCCGATCTTCCTTCATTACAGATATTAAACCTGTCACGGAACAAGATACGAAAAATACAAAGCGGAGCCTTTGATGTCAACCACAACCTCCAGGCAATCCGGTTAGATGCTAATCAATTGACCCACATGAAGGGTATCTTTTCCGACGTTTCCAGCCTCGTCTGGCTCAACATCTCAGATAATAACATTCAGTGGTTCGATTACTCTCTCCTTCCACCCGGCCTGCAATGGCTAGATTTACACAAGAACAACATCGCTGAGCTTGAAAACATTTACAACTTGGGAGCGGAACTCAAACTTCAAACATTAGATGTGAGTTTTAACAAACTTACCAAAGTAACGGCTGCTTCAATCCCCGATAGCGTTGAGCTGTTATTTATGAATGATAATCTAATCACTTCTGTTGAGCCACACACGTTTATAAAGAAAACAAATCTTTCAAGAGTTGATTTATATGCCAACCAAATCGAGGGGATGGAACTCAGCGCTCTTTACTTGACACCCGTTGCAAAAGATCGCCCTCTTCCAGAATTTTACATTGGAGGCAATCCTTTTCAATGCGATTGTACAATGGAATGGCTTCAGAGGATTAATCAGTTGGACTACCTCCGTCAACATCCTCGTGTTATGGACTTAGAAGCGATATACTGTAAGCTTTTGTACAATCGAGAAAGGCTATATATTCCTTTAGTAGAGGCGGAATCATATCAGTTTCTGTGTTCGTATAAGACGCACTGTTTTGCACTCTGTACATGTTGCGATTTTGATGCGTGTGATTGTGAAATGACTTGTCCTCAGAACTGTACTTGTTATCATGATCAGTCATGGGCTGCAAATATCGTAGATTGCACCTCAGTGGGCTATACTCAAATTCCAAGTAGTATCCCAATGGATGCAACAGAAGTTTACTTAGATGGTAACAGCTTTGGAAAGTTGACTAGCCATTCTTTTATTGGTAGAAAAAATTTAGTAGTGCTGTACGCTAATAATTCAAATATAGTCGCGGTTTATAATCATACATTCACGGGGCTTAGAAGATTAGTTAGTCTGCACTTAGAAAGTAACCATATTAAAGAACTATTAGGGTTCGAATTCGCTAGTTTGATAAGCTTAAAAGAACTGTATCTCCATAGCAATTTGATAGAATACATCGATAATAGAACCTTCACTGGCCTAAAACAGCTTGAAATTCTACGTCTTGATAATAATAGACTTTTAAAATTTGAAGTTACACAGTTCAGTGCGAATCCCTATCTAGTAGAAATCAGTTTATCAGGAAATCCTTGGTCCTGTGACTGCAAATATCTACAAGATTTGAGTGGTTGGTTAGGTACACATTATGCTAAAGTCATCGATGCCAAGCATATTTCCTGTGTTATGAACAATCGTACAAATTCGCTTGGAAGTGTTGTAAAGGATTTTAATTCCACTTCCTGTTCTCCTTATGCAGGAGGTTCTAGAGGGATAGTGGATAGGAAAGTTCTACAAGACTATATACCGCTTGTACTTTTGGCATCTCTAGCTTTCATAGCATGCGTGATTTTATTTTGCGGGTTATTTGTATATGGCAGAGAACTGAGAATTTGGGTTTACTCCAGTTGTGGGCTGAGGATGTGCTATAGAAGTCCGGGGTTTGAAGACGACAGCGACAGAATTTTTGATGCTTACATAACCTACTGCGTCAAAGATGAAGGGTTCGTCACTCAAGTCCTAGCTCCGGGTCTTGAGTCTCAGTTCCGATTGTGCCTCCACTACCGCGACTTCAACTTGACCGCTTACGTGGCTGACACAGTTACCGAGGCGGTCGAATCCTCCAAGCGGACAATTGTGGTCATATCAAGGAACTTTCTAGTCTCCGAGTGGGGTAGGTTCGAGTTCAAGTCTGCCCTACATGAGTTGCTGAAGGAGAGGAGGCGAAGATTGGTAGTGGTGCTCCTAGGAGACCTGAGTCCCCATGAGATGGACCCAGAGCTAAGGCTCTACTTGAAGGCCAACATCTGCCTGCACTGGGGCGAGCGGCACTTCTGGGAGAAGCTCCGTTTCGCGATGCCAGAGCCGTCCAGGCGGCCTGCCTGCCTTCCGCCTCAGGAACAGCAGCCCAAACTCGTCCTTGAACCTCATCTTCTCTGGGCATAGCGACTACAATACTACAGGTAAACTATTTCAATTTTATCTAATTTTCATGATATGAATTCATACCTAGCATATAAATTACTGTAAAGGATAGTAGTACCAAGAAAGATTTTTATATAATTTATTTCCGTGCTATATAACATTTATGAGTATCGAGCCACTATTATTGACGCTGTAAATAGTACAGAGGCGTTTTTTTTTAAACTGTGCATGAATTAAGAATTGTTTAGAATTTTTTTTTAAATCACTCTTTTTCAATATTTAAATTTCTATCCTTGATATAAATTTTATAAAATTTCAAACGGTAGTCTCTTCAACATTTTAAGTTTTTTATCATTCCTAACTATTTTCATGAGCTTAATGGTCAGGTCGTATAATTAGCTACTAAATAATTTTAATCATTGAATAATTTCAAAATATATATTTTAGGAATTAATCATTGACGTTTTATTTTCAATGTTTTTTTCTTATTTTATTGACCAGTTATTATAAGGACTATTTCTTGTTCTGTTTATTTTTTACTAAAAGATAAATGTATTATTGTGTAGTTGTTTAAAATTTATTAATTCAATTTATGTGTAAAATAAAAAAAAAAAACACTGGTCTGTATGTGGCGAGAAAAGAAAGAAGTCATATTTTCATTTTGCAATTTTATATCCAAACGAAATTATCAAAACAATGATATATTATCAGACACCAGATACTTACAGTTCACGTACTAAATTTATTAAATACATTTGTATAATGTATGGAATATGTTTAATATATATCAGAATAGGCCATAGTTGAACTGCTAAAATTCAAATAAACGCTAAATAAATACAGCACTGCTCTTTGCGGAATTTAAACATCTCTGAAGCCCGAGTATATTTTATTGCTATCTGTCCTGAACTCTGGGAATTTAGGATTAGAGTACTCGTGAAAAATTCTTGAAAGTGAAAAAACTGTAAACTTCCTCAATGGAAAATTGATTCGAACTGGAGACTGTCAAGGTATCATTTATGATATTCATATATGTTTATATGATTCTAACAAATACCGAATTATATTTTGAAAACAGCTTTTTATTTTAAATATTTTAATAACTAATCGTTATAATATATTAATGAAACTGTTCAAACTTAGTATTTAAGTAACTTTTTTTCTTCATTGATTTAAATTTCGTCCTACATATATGTTGTATTAGAAATCATGTCCCCTTCTCCTCCTCGTTGGCTTTTTTCACACTATCATAGTTAAACAAAACACTAACTTACTGGTATAACGTTATAAGTACACAGAGTGTGAGCTTAACTTACCAGACCTTTTAATACGTTTTATTAACTATATGACCACTTAATCCAGTGAAAAAAGTCATTAAGTATCAGAGAGTGACTCAACGCTCTGAAAAGTAGGAACATCTCACCATTTACTGAAATTATTTTTACTTATAAAAGGATTTTTATTTATTTTTATACATTTAATGAGTTATTGCATAGATAATTATGATCGAAATTAACAACTACGTACCTACCTGCAGGTAAAAATCGGCGACATTTTACCATAGATAGTAAAATATTTATTGATATAAAAATAAATTTGGACGGAACATAAAACTGTTGTTTTTTTCTCTTAATAACCAATTTATCAATAATAATATGTTTTCAGTTAAACGAAAATGATGTTTAAGTACTTCATTCTTATGTTTCTTTAAGAAAAGTAGATACCTTCTGTACGTCTACTATTTTTTTTTTTTTTTTATTCAACATTTTTAGAAAGCCTCATGATGTCATTGTATAAATATAAAGTTTCTAAAAAAGAAATCATTAAATTAAACTTTTAAACATTTTATTTTAATGGTGTCTCCTACCGGTTTCAGCGAGCACGTTTAAGGTTAGTAATAAAACTGAGTTGTTATATATAATGTTAGTCAAGTGGTCAACTCTGCAAAACTGAAGTATGTATATTTTGGTTGATCAACGTCTTATTGTGGTAACTATATTTCTGGAGCACCTATGGTTTTAGTAAATCTGTTTTATTTTGTAGATCGTAATTAACAGAGTTATGCGAGTTTCTCTTAATTATTTTTTAATATTTAGAGAAAAATATATTCGGTGTAATATAGAAATGTTTTATCTCCATCTTCATTATTTCATAAAATGTCGTATTTTGTTAGAATAGACTCAAGTTAGTTAAAGTTGAGAATATCTTTCTTCTTTTCAAAAGCAGTTGTAAGAGTTTATTTGTGTTGGTATTTAGAAAAGTGCTTCTTGGACGCAACAAACAAACGGCAGGGGGTTTTGAAAAGAGTTAAATGTTTTCCTTTACTGAGTAACGCCCAGCGTGTGCCTCCCTTTGGACTCTCATCAGTAAAAGAGGGAAAAGTGCTGCACCTGGAGACAGACAATACTAGCTATCGATCAAGGCTGGTTAGGCAGCTGTCGCACTGACTCACAGGGTACCTGACCCTTAGCAGAAACCAGGCGCTAAGGGCCGTTTAACAGAGACACGGCAGTGTGGTTTCTTCCATTTGTCGCTTTGGCACGGTGGGGGGAAAGGGACCCGGTGCCTCTGCGGTCATAGATCATGCTGACAAGTCTAGCCCCATCATAAATTATTTAGGAATGGGGGAGGGATTCCTAAAAAAAAACATAGAAAACCTAAATTATCTGAAACTAAATTAAGAAGATTTAAAGCAATACTTAATTTACTGTGAAAACTAGCTAAAAAAATATTTACATAATGATTAAAAAAGATTTTTTTTAAACCTAAAATAATATCTTTGTCACTTAAGTTTCTAATATAAAATTATAAATATTGACAAAATGTTCGTTCCTCAGTCCCACAATTTTGTTTACTTAATTTACATTATTCATAGGTTTCGACCTTATTCCATCAACAACACATTAGCTTATTTAAACCCCATTTTAAATTTTAAAACACTAATAAATTTCTTAGTTAAGTAAATTTTGCTTCTTTGTCTCATCCAGTAGATAATGATCTTTTTGTATATTGATATTCAAAAGACAAACACACTTTTAAACATATTAAATGAATACTTTAAAATTAGTTATTTTAAAAATATATCGATATTTTTAAACATGCGAAAGCTGCAATTTTCAACGAACAGTTAAACATGTTATTCAAGACTGGCCCAAATTAAAAAATACATTACAAAAATTAAATGACGAATAAAAAATTCTAAAATTCCCAAGGAACTCCAGATTTCTTGAAATCGGTAAAATCCTGAATGTTGCCAACGACACCAACGGGTAGAGGAAAAAATAAAATAAAATAAAAATATAGTCTGTTATTTATTGTTATATTTTGGTTTTAATATTTTATGGAATTATTAATGTTACTATTGGTTAAATTTCATCAAAGGTCTTTTTAATTAGTGACCATCGTCTTTGAAAAATTAAAATTGAACTAACCGAGAAAGTGTGGAATGGAAGATCTTACGACCTTGTTTATCAATACTTAAAAGAGTCCCAACCAATTTACACATAACAATATTGTAAATATTGCAAATATATTTTGCTTTTTCAATAAAGTAAACCATAATCACAATATTATGTTCGTTCGCTAAAAGTACTTTGTTGCCAATTTCTATGAATGTTTGCAATAATGATGGTGGGGATATCTTTTAGCGTACTGACAATCGAACTTTTCCTGTTTCCAGGATATCTTTCATTTGCTGAAAAAAATTCAAATTCATATTTTAAGACGTTTTACTGATTTTTTTTTTTAATATAATCTTTACAATTCCAATCGATTCTGTAGAACTTGGCTGGGACACTCCTATCAAGTGTGAACAATTTATGGTTTGATGCGAGTTCCAGTCTGATAAAAAAATGTCGAACGTCCATTGCCAGTTTTTTTATGAAAGATGAAATTTAATACTAACTCTGAGTATAATTGAATGTAAAAAAAATAAGTAACAACTACTTAAAAATACTATTTTATTTTGGCTAGCAGTAAGTTCATAAATTTTCTTTGAAACGCAACATAAAAATAGTATCAATAATAACGATACGTTGTAAGACTTATGCAACAACGAAAAAACTATCAAATTTTGGAAAAATGTTTTATCAAGTTAAATTGTCAAAATGACTTGGATAATCGAATCGACTTCATTTAATAATATTCGCAAAATTTAAAGGAGTACCTATACAATCAACTTTAAAAAATGTTATTACTTGTATGATAATAATTTTAATTGTTTTAAATCTCCTGTGAAATGTTACAATTTGTAGGTTCTTTATCGTTCGAATGGAAGAACGATATCATCTTAAAAAAAAAAAAATTAAGTTAAAATTTCCGATGAAAAATAATTAAGCACCAAAAAAAAAAAAAAACATGATATGCTTTCACAAGTTGTAGCAATTGTACAAATATAATATTACAATTCATTGGATGCATGAATATATATGTAAACAAAAAAGATTTTTTCCTTCTCTATGAAACACATATATTATTAATAACCATACCACATTACAAACAGTACGTGATACTTCATTGAGACCGAGTACAAATATTTAACATACTCTTCAATTTTACAAATATTTGTACGCTTAATACAGGAACAGTTTCAGTGCTTTGCAGCAAGTAAACATACATGATAGGGTCTGTAAATAATTCATTTAAAGCATTCTAAATTCTCAGGTAAACACGTGACGGCAATGTATAATAGGAAAATTCGATTTAAAAAAAAATAATACTTGTAAAGAAAAATTAAATATTTTCTGCCTCGCTGTTGCCGGATTAAATCAAACTATTCAAGTATCATATTAATGATTATTAGTTTTTTTATTACAGCTGCATATTTAAAAAAAAATAATTTATTAATATTTTTTTTTGGCGTTTTTATTTTTATTTTAACTAATGCATTATATTATTACATTTTTATTTTACACTACTTTGATTTTATTTTCACTTTGGTTGGATTATTTAATTTTAAATTTAATTTTTTTACATACCCTTTTACATATTTTAATCAGTTTTCTCGTTTTGTTTAGTATGTTATATTTCATAGATGCTA